TAAACCCGGGTAATCAAAAACACCACACACTCGAAAAACAAATAATGCTGTAATTATTTCCTCTTGAAGTGTTAAGTAATAACACTTTCGTTTCGACTACTATCTGTTCGTTCCGTAATACGTAACGTATAACGTGATAACAGAATACAGAACGGAAAAAAAAACTACGAACTTCGACCAATCGAAGACTTTTTACATCGTGCAGCGCTGAAGCGTATAATTGATTTAATGATTATACAGGTAAAAGTCGGTACTATAGGGGGTGAACAAGGGAAATTTGGAGGCGCTTGGATGTATCGCAAATTTTTAGTTTGTTAAAACCAAATATATATTCAATCTATCAATCAACACTTACCTTTTAGTATATGCTACTCGACAGAATGCAATATAAGTATAGGTAGAGAACACAAAAATACCCTAGAATGTGAATAGATAATTCAATACCTAATGTAATAAATGGCAAATTATGAAAATTTCAACCTTTAGTAAGTTGGTGCAATCCATATGGCACAAACTATTCTCATGCTTCCACTCTAATCTTGTGATGTTCTATTGTTAGTTTTATATATATACATATTAAAATTTTATATACATATTGACTACTACTAATAAAACCGAAAATACGTTACCTAATATCCAAGTAAGTGTTTCTCGCACTGGTCAAAAGATCACTTGCTAGATATGCCTCTAATGCTACAACATACAGAAGCAGGCACCATCCAAGCAGGAGTAAATGCTAAAGTAATATCGTGCGATACGTAAAATAACCACTTCTATAATAGAACGAGCTGCTTTCAAAAGGGAGAGTTTCTAGCTCTGTGTAGTATGTGAAACACCCGTATTAAAAATACGAAGGAAAAGGTCTGTAAAAAGTGAAGAAAAGGCAAATGAAGATAAGCCTCATATCGAGTTATGTGCGTTTTGTTTTAATCCATACCCGCTGAATAACGAGTACGAAGCTAGATTAAGAAAAAAACAATGGTAGCACTTGTAACCACAAAGTACAATACCTGAATAGGCACGTGGTTCGAACGTTAACCCAAAAGTGAAAGATACATAAATAAAATGCTGGAGAAGCTATCCGTATGTAATTTTCCCCTACATACTTATCAGCGAATGTGTTACGGTGCCCATTTAGTCTAGCTCTTGATGTCTTTCTCCCGCTAGTTACAACAGCATAACTCGTATATCTATATTTGCTATCAGAACTGATAAGACGATAACTCAGGCTGAATTATGTGTCACGTTTCACATATAATGTTATTTCCGTAATATTCTCGTTAAGCACACCAAGCATCTGGTGGCAGCATTCTAATTTATAAAGCAACCTGTAACATGATGTGCTTACGGCCAGTTTCGAACCAAAAGCAAATCGAGCAATCGAGTAAACAAATAGGTCATCATTACACGATCACGAAGACTCAGATTAACTGTTTTCATCGTTTGCTGTTGGATTTACATTGTTCCCGCTCGAAGAAGATGTAACTAATAGGAAAACTCAACACAGTGCCTGCCGGATAAGTCGCGATGAGTTAAAGCATATGTGGTGCCGCATGGACATACCGGATCACAATCAAAACACCTCAGAGGATTAATAACCAGGTAGCGCGTTCGCACGACTATGGTCGCTGCTGGATTTATTCGTCGATTCCTTAGATGTATTTCTGCAATACGCTTATTACACGGTTATTATGACGCTAGATTATGCGATTCCACTCTCAGGTATTAATCTGCGTTGATTTTCTCTTCACAACCGCCCACTCATTAATAAGGCCATCAAAGGAATGCCGGGCATAGGAAGCCAGTGTCTTACAAGTAATACACTCGCTTTTCGAAGTCACTTACTTTGACGATTTCGATTCAATAATCCACTGGCGGGTAGTTTGTGTTGTTGAAGTAAACGCGAATTCCGACTAGAATCGACACGGCAGGTCGAATGTTGCCTAGTCTGGCCACGGCTGTACGCTCGTCTACCTCACGGTTGTACATTTGTTGCCTTCACTTGTCGCACAGCTTAAAGTTATTGTACAATACGATCGCTGTCGTGAGGAACATCTGCGCCGGGTTGATGGCTGGGTTATTAAAGCATTGCTTCAGACGGCTGACCGCCCTCCCCATCGGGACACGAAGTGACAACCAGGTTCAAAATTGGGCGTACATGAACGAGAATCATAAGTTCCGTGATTATGGCACGGCCGTTATTATACAGTTATCAAGCTAGTTATTAAATAGTCAAAAAATGACCGAACTAGCTTTCCTGAGGTTGCATACATTGGGAAAACTTAAAAAAATTCAGTAAGTATATTTTGCACAAGTAACAGCTGATCTATACCAACATGTTTGTGTAAAATCACGTATTAGCCACAATCAACGTGCTTCGTTTTAGCCTATGACTATAGGTAGGATGAACAGCTCGCGAGCATTCGAACCTTATGTCATCAATGTTTGCTCTCGGCATTTATGTGGTCTGTCAGATTCCACTTTCCCGCTTCGATCTACTGCGTGGCAGGCCGCTCTTGGTAGGGTCATAGAAGGTAGTTCTTGTGCTTAAAGTTCATGCTCCCTATATAAAATATTTTTTCCCTACATTCATTTGACGCGCCGCGTTCGAATAGGCAGTCTATTGGTTTATAATCCCTGTCGAGGCAAATTTGAATTTCGTATAGTACCGACGCCCGCGAGTGCCGCGGATTAAAGCATTTCATCTCGAATCTGCCGTGGTTGGGCAAAGCATCGTTGAACTCCTGTAATGTGTACGAACGTGTATTTGATGGCTCTATACCGGCCTGCTTTAAGGTATTATACAATTCAAATCGACGGTACAGTGCGAGCGTCATATCAAAGTATGCCTGCATCATGTTAATTTTCGGGTTAAGGGCAAAGCATCGCCGACCGTGTTTCTTCCACTTTTCCTTAAGAAAATCAAAAAAAGGCTTATTCCTACCCCGATGTGGCCAGATCTCTTCTAGTTGCGCTTTACTAGCTCTTTCTATTTCTTGTGTGTTTGATTGATGCCGGACAAAATCTTCGCAGACTATCAAGGCATGTATTGTCCAGATATTTTTTTTGGCCAAAGAGGGTTCGTAAGGCTCTCGAGTCCATTTAGATTTTAAACAAAAGCCTTTAGGCCAAATAACTAGGAGGCAAAACCCACCTCTAACGATGCCATTCGGTTCACTGTCGGCTTCCTGCGGTCCTGCGCTGCCTTGTAGCCTTGACATCGCGAAGCCTCCAAGCAGAGCTGTCTGCAACGTTAAGCATACGAGTAATGGCCGTGACAATAATGACGATGATGATGATCCTATCAATCTTCCATGACGTCGTGTAGACCCACCACTACCCCGAAAATCTATCCGACTTCGAGTCACCAGCAGAAAGGCGCCATAGAAGAGCCAGATCGCCGCGGTCAACGCAAGGTAGAGCAGAGGTGAAAACTGGCCTATAGCCAATCTTTCATTGGCTACGTTCATTTCCACAGCGCCGATAGCAACAGGCGGGAACTTTGGAAGCGTTTGATTTCGCAAATATAATTATACCTGCACGTCAGGTGGTAAATTTGTAAATATTACAACAATGCCGAATTAATTTTGTTATCTGGCTTGTATAACGTACGAGCTTAGTACTGCTGCTGAGAATATATTTTAAAATGGGGTGGGCGGCTTTCCACTAATTTTTATCATACTCTCAATTTATGTAAAAACAACAAACAAATGACCTGCCGTGCTTGTATTGAGGATGAATAATAACAATAATACATTAGGATATGCTGATAGTGAATACATCAATGAGAGTTAGATAATCAAGTTCTTAATACGGTGATTGACTTCGAAAATATTTTTCGTGCAAAAAGATTTTCGAAAAAAAAAAAAAAAAAAAATTTCACGAAAGAGTATTTAGAAAATCTGACGGGATCTTAGCGTCTGAAAATGTCGGCTGCGTAATTTTATGAAACAAAATTGCCTCATTTTCTAGCGATTTTGTGAACTAGGAGTGTTTAGTTGCTACAGACCCATCGAGCTATACCCGCTCTGTTAGTCAGACCGGATAGTCACGCCATACAGTTATCAAATGAGGAGATAGCAGTGCACGTGGCTGACTGAAACCAAGGTAACACATACAGAAAATAATCAAAAGCTAAAGTAAGCAAATTCGCCAAATATACTGTATAAGTATAGGGGCCCAGCATCGTCTTTGTACTGACAAACTGTAAAATCGAAGGTAAGGTTTCCAAATTCTTACAAATAACAGGTCTTTGGAATCAATTTTCTGTAATATAACAGCATCGAAAAACGTCAGGCGGGACATTGCTAAGATGTGCTAAGACTCTGTGGACATCAGATTGTGCAGAGTTCATTTATCGCCATTGCCCTATATGTTATTACTCTCCCACTAAAAATTTAGTCGCCGGCCACGAATAATAATAGTAATAATCATAATTATGGAGACATTTTCATCTGAAAAAATTTGAATTTATTATGAAAGTCATTGGTCTTAGGTTGAACCATACCTCTATCCCGCCAAAGACAGATCTAAATTTAAATCTGATATACTTCGTAATGAGTAATCATCTATTTACTGATTGATCGAAACGGCGATTCGAGCGTCAATCGAGCTATCTCACATTCTCACCATTGATTCAACAGTCTGATGTTCGGAGACTATTTCTCGGTGGCCATTCTTTTCTACAGGTTTTTAATAATCTGAGTATAGTGGACACCGACATAGCCTCCGACTCACAAATTTATTTTGCCCACTACTCCACTCGCTCGATTCTTTTCTTCTCCACAAGATGGCATGGTTTTGATTAACTTTTAGGTTGATTGCAAACCCAATTGCTATACTATACAGGGAAGCGACGACCGTGGCGACCCCTGCTGAAGATCGTCAAGTTATATATACGTCTTTCTGCAAACCATAGAACAGTAGGTATTTTAAGTTGTAATACGCATTCGAGGGGAGCCAGCCATATAACGCGCTGCTGTACTGACGCAATAGCTGACGTAAAGCTTAAGCCATATAATTTTAAAGGAAATGTTAGATCGTGTCTGCTTGGCGGATCAACAGATGCCGAATAAAAAGTCCAACAGTGAATAGATCTCCCAATACAAAGACGATAACAAAAACCATTTACGTTGGATGTTTTATTTATATTTAACTTTCGATTATTTCTTTCCACTCCGTTTTGGTTTTAGTTAATGTTTACCTAAAAGAGTGTCCCTATAGGCTATTTTTTATGTTTTTAATGCCACCAATCAAATTCTACGCCGATATCGAATCTATACGGCTTTACTGTTACTTACCGTAACACAATAACGACCCCATCCTATCCGATACTGACATAACACATCCAGCCGGTACAATAGTATATTAGATAAACAAGGCTAGACGAGTTTGTTGCAGTCAACCATTACGTCTACCACTGAACTGCCACTTAATAGCGGAGAAAAACTCGGAACAACTTTAAACACCCCATCTATCGGGATAACGCAACGCTTTGGAGCTCCATAGCATCGGCGCCACCATCGGTTGTAGATATTCTGTCAGATGAACTGAAATCGGTTCAGCTTCGGTGCCAGTTACTGGGAGCAATGGCTGCAATTTGAACTGACAAGGATGATAACCTTGTCATCATCCGTGTATCACAATGTTTTCTTTTGTGCTAAACACAATAGGTTATTTGCTTCTTGTCTTCTTAGACAGTCGTTGAAATCGGCCTTTAGTATAAAATCACCCACCCCACTTTTAAATATATTCTTAATGGCAGTACGGAGCTCGCGCCTTGGTTACACCAGCTAGCGAATACTAATTCAGCGTAGTCAAGGCGTGCATGTGAGGCAGTGATTCTAGCTAAATCCAATCTGGCGACAGAAAAGACGACATACAGGATCAACTTCTACTAGCCGCTGTTGAAGTTACGACTATCGCAAACAAACGATTGGTAATAGGCCACTTCTCATCACTGCTGTACATTACCTAAACCATAGCAATTTGGCTCTTCTATGGCGTTTAACGTCTTTCGAGTCGACTAGGACCTACACAGCGTCATGGAGGTTCGACCGGGTCGTCGTCATCATCAGCTTTGCCATTACTGTTGCAGCCAACCATTATTAGTAGGCTTTGCGTTGCAGACGGGACGCATTGACGTTGTTTAAGGTACGAGGCGGCGTAGGACCACTGTAAGCTATCCAGAAACGACACGTTAGCCAATGTTTGTCAATGGCGGGCCTTAGAGAAGTGGACCCCCCTTTCTCTCGCAGTCTGGGAACCTAAAAGTTTTATTAGAAAACTGAGACCGAATCGCCAAGCTTTGTGATTGCAGTTATAGAAGACTTTATTGAACAACACATATCCTGATGCTGGAGATACTTCAGGAGGGATGCGGTCCTAACGCACTAGCTTGTTCGATAATGATAATACAAAACAACTCTGGCTATCGCTTCGTACTGAGGAGAACCATTCTGCTTCCTTGAGGGACAATCAGGGAAAGTGTCACAAGGAGTACATTGCTGCCGTATGTTAGTACGATGAAAATCTGCTTGACGCGGCAAATCAACCATCGTATACGCAAGGAGTATAGCAGTCCCAAAATGTATGCTCAGGCCGTGGAAATATATCCAACTAGATTTGCTACAATTTGAACAGTCACAAAGGTCTCGACGCCACCGACTACCCGCTTAACGAATACATAATATTTATGCTAAAAGCGAGTATATAATTACGTGAACATTAAAAGTCGTGCAATGAAGATGAACTTTCGCTAGATAACAGAGAGTCAATGCCTCTGTGCATCAATAGCCCAGCTCTAAGGCTATGCGTTGACAATTGTGTTGTCTATGGCCTTCGGGCTTCCACCTTCCAAACCAACTCGGCCGCCTTCACTGCCAGCAATAACAGAGGTAACGCCGAGATTCGTCATAACATGTTCAATACACTATACGGGCTTTCGCTTTCTAGTAACCTGGGAACGACAACAACGCCAACGCAACTGCTAGCAAATGCGACAGTGGCAGTAATCATCGGGCGACATGTTACAACTGTCGAAAGGTCGAAACGCCTTTCATGATTAGTACTCAGCAATTGTGGTCTTGCCACCCTGTCACCAGGTCTTTTTACCGGCTGGTCCCATCCGGTTTTGTGTGTGAAGCGTCGTTACATTTGTAGCTTGCCACCTGAACGACGCGTACGTGCGTTTGGCTAGTGGCCATGCTGCTCTTGTATTAACCCGTTCTCAGCTATTTATGTCTCTTGCTACATGCATCATTGTCGAATGTATGAGATGTAAAAGATGCGGCGTCAACGACAACCACCTGACGAAATGGTGAAATCAACTATGTAAGTGTCTATGAGCCTTGGTATGTAGAGAAAAAAGATTTCTATCCAGACGCACATAGTTTTGATTGCGAACAGGCAATGACGGTCAAATAGAAAAATGACCCAAGTGCGATCAAGCGTTCATGGACCTCTCTTTCAGCCTCGAATACTGTTCCCAGACAACAATAATCACGTCCTTATTTAACATACCGGTTGCCGTATTGTATATTGTAATATTATACGTGTAAATTATTGTAAATAAAGCTTTCGCAACTTGCACTATGGACTCTACAAGACTTTCGGCCCCTGTGATGATTCATAAACGATGCAGAAGTGCTAGGTAACCTCTGTCAATGTTTACGCTGGGTGAGCAATAACTCTGCGGTAACCTACCACTGGAAATGATTTTATCGAAAAAAACAACAGGTTCAGCGTTACAAATTTAGTGTCACCTGTTCCAGCCTAAATGGTGGCAGCTGGCCTAATAGATATCGCAGTACTACGACCCAGATCTATGAAGAGTTGTAGGTTACAGTTACAGAAGCCGTGCCCCACGCGCGTGCTTCTTGTGTCATGTGGATGTAACCGTCTGCTGAGATACTGCGCAACATCCCTGTGACGTCTCCACAATCCAACGTACCCAAGATGGGCCAGTAGCAGTCGCAATAGCATCAATAGTTTAACCGGCGATCAGTCACGCCGAGCTATGAAGATTTGTTAGTTTCGTCTCCGGAAAATTGCTGGGTAAATTTGCAGCCTTGACAACGGATGACACAGCGCGGTATTGATCTGTCGTTGCGTGAGTCTACTGTGGTTTGTCCTGTGTTTCGCTTGGCGGCCTTACGTTACCCTCGCTGTTTCTTAGTTTAAGGCAAAAAAGTTAATAAGTTACAATGCGTTGACACGATTATGCCCACACTTAAAATTCGACACCTTTGGAAGACATGGTATTACAGATCACGCCGAAGCTTGTGATGTCACTGATGGCCATGCTGATGTAAGTGGCAACCCCCTTGTGAAATGCATTCTGCCCTGAAAAACGTAGCGCACCTTGCTCCAGCCTGTAGCGTTTGTTCAGCGCACATTAGCTAGCTACTAGATAATAACGGTGCCATAATATGGAAGGCTATCAAATCGCTGAATGATGCTTTCTGACTAATAGTACCATAATTCACGCTAAGATTACAACCGGTAACAGCATGTGCTAAATAGGTGCTATGGGGTCTAGAGCAGAGTGTGGAGCACTTGCAAGCAATATCTGAACCCCCAATGGGTAGAATGGAATGAATAAACCCTGCCGTACGACTACGACTACCGCTACAAAAACATTCGCCCACGTGAGTCACACACTCTTCCACTTAGGACAACGATTTCATTCTATTTATACTACCTACCCGGGATCCCTGTACGCCTTCTCAGCCAGAAACGATAGCACTTACAGCAAAGGGAAACGATGACAACAACAATGAAAAAGGTAGAAAGGCCTATTTTTTTCAGGACGGCGATGACGTCGTTTTTGGCGTTGGTCTCCGCAGCGGCGGCGATTATTCGCGCGGACAAAACGCAATTAGTAAAGCAGGAGTAGGTAGACAGCGTATTTTGCTACCGCGCTTGGCGGCACGATGTTCATTACCGTTCACAACGGCATGAAGGCAAACCGCTATTTAGCTATGAAGGAATTATGTCACATCTAATGGCTGATGTTTAGCAGCATTATGCTGTGACGGTATGTGAGGATGTGCCAGAGAGGTAACATGAACTTATGTGAAGCAATAAGTAAATGGTCAGCCCGCCCATACGTAGGTCGTCCTGTCCTGGGATCGACTACTAGGTCAAGAGACGTTTTCGCGTTCGTTTTTCCTTCCTCTTTGTCCAATCGAATTATTTATATATGCTAATCTGATGCTTGAACCAGCCTAACGTATCAAAGAATTAGCGCTTGATGAACCTCGCTGGGCTGGCTTTTGTAGGATATATACGTAATGAGACGGATGACATATTTTGACTCGATCTATTTAATTAGACTGGATTTTATGGTAGCAAAGAATGACTGTGATGTACATCCATTTCGATATACCTGGTTAATATAGATTGAATTGTTAGATAGGACCACAGGCAATTGGCATACAGTTTTAATGATGACCTATATGTGCATGTGTGCCATATATTATCAAATACAAGAACATTTCCAGAATCGTTATTTAGGAGCCACATAACTGTAGCAAAGGAGTCCTCAAGTATTTCTGCACTGCAAATTGGGTGGATATGACTAATTTTTTTAAGAATTAATGAAAAAAAGTAAATTTTTGAGTTTGATTTGAGATTTCATTTTTGGTTCTAAGAAACCTTGTCTCTTTATGTTTTGAGCTTTACGCACGGTATTGCGGTTACCCATTCCATAAGAGAGACGGCTGGCTCCTGCTAGCACAAAACAAACCTCGAATATAGACCACCACGTGTCCTTAAGATTAGCAAGCAAACACGTTATCCATCAAGCTATCACGGGGAAAAGAAAATTTTTCTGACTTAGCGTTGATGCATCTGCATCTCCTTGATTCTTTGGAGATCGTTAGGCGAAGTATCGTCTCATTAAAATCGGAAAAATACGGTTAGCGGTAAGATAAGCGCAGCCGCGGTGGTTAGAATGTTTTTATTTTTTTTATGTTATGTTTTATTAACTAAAAAATAAAACATTGGTCACGAGCACACAAAATCGAGCATCAGCCATCGATTAAGTAAATTTTCAGAACTTCGTGATTGTCTCTACGGTTATTCGCACAGGCACGCTACCCTACTCAGCTGTAGATTCACTAACGTGGTTTGTAATTATCTTCAGAGTAAAAATAATAATAAGCCCGTATTGGGAACGCCGTATCATCCAACTTTACTGGCTGTATATATGCGTTTTTGTGATAGCCACCGAAGAGCTTTCTGCGCGAAAATAGAAATCGCCAATAAGTTAATATAATTACTTCATAAAGAGAACAAGTATTATTTTTATGCTTTTGTGTTACAAATAAGCTGTTTGTAGATGATTTTATGAGACTGCTAGTCAAAATATGATTCTATATACCTCATTTACCATCACAAAGCATTTTAACTTAATCTAACATACTTTACCAAGAAAAACTTGTTCATTATGTCCGCAACCAACAAAAACGTAAACCAAAAAGGTAATACACATTGATATTAAGTTCGATGTAACTAAAATAGCTTCATACCTTAGCCCCTAACGATATCAACATCGATATCGACACATAGAGCATAAAACGTAAGCAATATATCATCCCATATTTTTTCAGTCTTCCATACATTACTACGTTTTACTATTGGCTTGCTGCTAAGAACTAACGAGGAAACAAAGCAGTTTTGTGTGCAAATTACGAAATATTTTTTCCATATCTGTGCAGGAACTTTCATTGGAATGTACTTTCTTAACGTTATCACGCATTTAACATAGACGATAATGATAAGGCTTAAAGCAATGACCCCTGATTTATTCACTAAGCGACTCAGCTGTCCAAGTTACTGTATCATGGCGTGCTGTTGCTTAACAAAAATATAAAATACGAGAACGCACATTTCGGGAAAGTTATTGTCAACTTGAGATGCATGGATCGACGTTTTTCTCAAGGAAAATAATTATTATTCGATTGTATTTCAATGTTTTTGCTATACATGTACGTTTTATAAGTTATATTAATCGGTAGTAAACTCACAATCGAGCGCTTATCTTAGAGCACCTATTACATCTTAGTGAACTAACATAGCCAAATAAATGTTTGTTATACATTTCATTATTTTTTTATACGTTGCTACAAATAATCTCTGTTTGTTTATTACACATTTGCAGTCCACATTCTCAAGTGGCTAAGCTCCGTCAATTCACTTTCGTTGGATGCCGCGCGCGCGAAACTTGTCCGTTCAGACCGCTCTTCGCGGGCCAACTCAAAGCAGACGACGGCGTTAAGTGATGTTGCGCCGGAATCCTTGCTATGATCGTCACTAACTGCGCCACAGTGTTTCTATCCCCATACGGTCGGAGCGGTGCGAAGTGTCCGCGATTTAATGTGGCCAATCAAAATCCTTCTGCTGTTTTAGACTTTACAAGTTGGATATGATCCAAGTACAATGTGTTATTTAGTAGATAGATCTTAGTACTTGTTTACAGTTGAGTTCCTGCACTCGTTCTTCATGTTTTCCTCTCCGCTTCTCTCTACAGACGGCAAACTCACCATCTGCTTTCAGCATATTCTGCGTGGTGTCTGCTATGGTCCGCCGCAGCCGCGGCTTTGATACTCATTTATAGTGGCTTACTCCGCGATGATTTCGGGGCCCTTAGCCTTGACAGTTTCATTTCACTGTATCTATTTACGGCACAGTAACGAGTAACCTAGGCGAGCATCAATCTTACGATAGGCCATTAACGTTTGACACGGCTGACCTGGCTTCTTTGGCCAATACGCAGAGTTTCTCTATTAATGCTATCGTCGCTATCCACCACTGCTGCCCCGTCGCACGCGCCTGTGAGCGAAGCTCCACTGGAGAAACTGTTCGTGACTCCTAGTTATTCACTAGCTAGCTCTCTCTTTTTTTGCTTCTGATACAGACTAGTAACTGCGTTATCGAAGTGGTACGAGCAGCCCTCAGGTAGAGTATCCAGTACGTACTGAGAGCACCGAGACCTTTCGCGCTGGCTTTGCTTCTACCGCTCCCCTTGCCAACGGCCGCAGCGGCAGGCAGCAGCCGCCGCTGTTGTCGTCGTCGTCGTCGTCGTCGTCGTCGTAGTCGTCTTCATCGTCGTGAGTGCGGAATTTAAGATGGCCGCGCACAGTGGAGGATCAGAGAGGCTGCAACAGCATCAGCAGTAGCAACATCAGCCGCAGCAGTAGATGAACATCATCATCAGCCATCGTGCCCATAGCGGAGTGATCGCAGCTTTCCGTAAGAGATAACTTGCGCCCAACAGACCGATATAAACAGCTACACAGACAAGCCGATACACTCCCGCTGCGGGCCACAGTGGCGTTCGCTGTGGAGAGTGATTGCAGAGGCACTAGTGGTGCCATCCGTGGCCGGTGCTCGATGATTGCTAGCTGGTCGTGATCTAGCTAAGCTAGTAGTTCACTGCTCAGAGAGTTGTTCTTGGTCTAAAAGAAACCTATCAGTACAGCAACGGTCTCGTGTGCGACGTACAAACTTACGTTCGAAATGCACGCTGGTGGTGGTGGCAGTGGTGCTGCTGCTGCTACTGCTACTGCCGCTGCGATCCGTTACTTTACTGTTGGTACGGTCGAATTGATCGGCTGAACGCCGCTGTTCTGGATCAGCTCGGATGTTGCGTGCTGCTCCTACCGGTTTCCTTCTCGATATACTGAAACTGTTTGTCTCCGGCAGCATAAAAGCGAACAAGCCAATCGCTAGCGTTTCATTGTTGTCGTCCCACAAAAGATTGACGTTATTGTTTTGGTCGTTGTCAGCACCAGCAAAGTACTATGTCTGAAGACAGTTAGCTTATTGTTGTTATGCTGTTACAAGGTGAATGGGGGAACGATAGAGGTGTACGGAGCAGAGGGTTCTTTTGCTATTACTTAAGAGTTTCCCCCGTGCGCAGTCATTGTTCGTTGTCCTCACGTATCGAGTCCGCAGAGCGGTTACTGCATTGTGCTCGAGACGGTGCTACAAGAGTGCAAATCACGTCTATTTATCGGTTTTGTTGCGGTGACACCGGGGAAGCAAGCAACTACTACTAGAGTGTTAGAGTCTAGAACATTCACACTCACGCAGATCTGCTAAACTGCGGAACGGTTGTTAAGCGGGGCAAAACGGGACGATACGAAACGAGATAGGACGGTAGGAGACAGCTGTCGACTCAACAATAACAGCAGCTGATGGTGACGATTGTCGACAATTCGACGTGTTGCGAGCGCTTAGAAACGACGTATCGGCTACGGAATCATCCTTGTCGTGTGTTTAGTTACTATATTACTGTGCAGATGGAATGAATGTTTCGCCGTGTATGTGCATTTGTGGGTATGTGTGCGATGGTGAACGACAACAGTAAGCTCCGGAGTTATTGTCTGGTGTCAGACTTTTGTTTTTCCGTAACGGTGCAAAAAGTAACTTGGATCAAGTTCGTGTTGTGAGAAGCACGTCATCATTCTTCATTATAGAATAATCAAGGCGAAAGTGAAGACGTGTCAGTGCGATACTGTACAGAACGTGGCTGATTTGCGTTCGAATCTGTTTTTGTTTGGGTCTATTCTTCGTTGTTCGATCGAATGAATGACTCATTGGCTTTTGGAGTAAAGCCTAGAAAGGTGCTCGCAACAGTTGACTTAGCGGTTCCTATTGCAGCTAGCGGCTTTACCGGCGTAGCCTGTCGTCATTTTTGTACTTCAGATCGGCGCGTTCACCCTAAGCGACCTGTTCGCGTTCTCGATTTTTTCAAATGTTGTGTGTCGTTGTTGTTGTTGTTGTTATTGTTGTTGTCGCCCTACAGCATTTGTTAACTTTCTTCTCGCGACTCTAGAGATAGATAGAAGGCAAATATTGCCGAAACGAGACGGATAGGCATTCACATGAGTGTTTCTTTCACCGTCAGCTAACAGCTCTAATCAGCGAGAGGAAATCAGCCCACCTGCAACTACCATGGAACAACAGTCTCTAGTAGTAGCAATACCACCGGCGCCAACATCAACAGCTTTAACTACAGACGCCCACGACAGCCTTGTAAACCCTTCGTCGTTTTCTAACCCCGCTAACTTATCTTCCAGCAATAGCTTCTACCAGCCTTACTACTGTGTCTTTGACTAGCATTTGTTCTGGTCGGAATACTGATCTGGATGCTCGTTGTCGGCGCGACCGAAATCCTACGGGCGGTTGTCGTCCGATCCCAAATCGTTGTCATTTTCCACGTCTACGTTGCCAAGCGCAATCTTAGCTCTAGCAGCTGGTCTGCTACAGGTAATTCTTGGAAAACTAATAGTGTTGCTGCTCCAATCAGACGAGGTAGTAAAACAAGTGCTTACAGTTTCGAATGGTACCAGAAGAAGAAAAACGAAAACGAAGAAAATACCAGCAGTAAAAGCATCTGCAGTGTTATTGAACGGTGGGGCAGAGAGCTCGCCCTAACTACGATAACGTTGATAAAAACGTCTACGAGGACCATCATTAGCTATATACACACAGTCTTAAGCGTTACAACGACGACTACTGCGATTGCCAACAATAGCGTCGCCACAACGGACATCACCTCTGTGGACAAACTCGTCCCCAACATCAGCTCCATTAGCAGCAGCAGTGCTTATAGTAAAAGCGGTTACGTTACTGTTTCGTTCCAGGGTCTAACTAACTACCGTCTTCAAGGACCGCAACGCTACCAAGCACAGGAGTACCAATATCAGCCGGCAAAACAACTACAGCACCAACGAAAGCTCGAGGTATCACTGATCCTCTCAGCGGCTTTGGAGTCTCAGCCTGGCTAACACAAACCAGTGGCGCTACGAATGCGGAGAAGCAGGCGTTCAAGGCAAACCAACGCACAAACGAAAGAAAACAACCAAGGCAAATCGTTAACCAAGCCGCCTGCTTTCGCAATCCGTGCTAGTGCTGGACCCGCGACTGGCATCGGGATCTGTAGAACCCAATCAAAGGCCCGTTCCACCGATACACTAGAAGTGTCGCTGATCGTTAGTTCTCTTCTGAGCGCAACCGCGCGCAGGCAAGAGTCACACCAGCCACAATAGCTGCAACCGGCGCCACAATTTCCGGCGCTCCCTTGCGCTCGCGGAAGAGGGGGCGCGACTCTCGGGCGAGGATCAGAGTGGTATCTAACCCCAGTCGGGTGTCTATATATCTGTCCGTCTATTTGTTGTCACCGTTAACAGACTGTTGCCTTTGCCAGTGCTACGGTGACGCCGGCGGCGATAGGGGCAAACGTTCGCTTACCACCGCCACTCCATCTAAACTTCGTAATTCGCCCCTAGTGGCTTGGGGCCGACTATCACGAGCGACCCCCACTCCTCTCCCACCCGCCCCCTCCGGGCTCTTTCTTTCGTGGGAAGGTTCCGACCGCCGGCGGGGTTTCATCTTTTTGCAGTAGCCGTTCACTGTTTCCTGTGCTATGGTGTGTCGTGCGTCCGTTTCGTCCGTCCGTTGGATCAGTTGTGCCTCGTCTTTCGTCAGATTGTGTCGGGTGGTGTCCGTGGTAGTTTGTGGTGGTGAGATGTCTTGGTTGTGGTGGTTCTTCCTGGTCCTGTAAACCCTTGTTGTCGATTGTGTTTGGGTCGCATTGTAATCGTGGACTCCACATTCGTTATTCGGTAATAGGTCTATATTTTCTAACTGTTCTTTTTGTCATCGTCACTATTGGCCGCCATCGTAATCGATGATTGCTTGTGGCTTGTCTGTAGTCAGGAGTTTTGTACTTCATCTGTGTTGTTGATCCTCAGTCAGCATCTATTAAACCTGTCGTTCTCAATTCCGTGATGATTCTAACGAACACGAGTAGCTTAAGATTTTTGTTTTCTTTGCATATGTGCCGCATGCGCCTCTAACGGCTCATGTTGCCTAGGCTGTTGTCTGGTGTTGTGCCGTTGTCGTCCCGTCTTCTTTGTGACAACACCAAACGTTGTTTTCCAACAACGACAACGACAACAACAATAACAACTGCTACTACAACTATTACCTGGCAATGGCAACCACAAGTAAAATTGCATAGCTAGCTTTAACGCAATGGGTGAATGAAAAAGGATGATCAAGTAAGAGACGAAGAGAATAGAGACTGCCAGAGTCCAGCAAGGGCGCTCTGCAAACCTATTATTACAGGTGTGTTAGTTTTGAAGCGTGGATACTTGTAACAGTTGCGACGTCAGGGGTGCAGGTGCTATCATAGTCGAGGTCGATACAGAGGGTGTGCTAGCGTGTGAAAGAAAGTTCTGCTTAGTTGTCCGTTCGTTGCGTACACGACTTCCTGTCGTTTCTGTTGTGTCGTTGTTTCTGGCCCATTTTGTTGTTACATTGCTTTTGATTTTCCCCAAAGAGCTCGGACGTCGAAGATTGAGAATTAACACGAGGTTCAAGTAGGCTAGTGGCAACCAGCAGACCGAAGAGACTCACGGAGTGTCACTATTCATTGGTATACGTATCGCGTGAAGTTTATGTGAATGTCGACAAGTGCGCTGAATTTAAACTCGTTCTTCTATCATAGCAATCGTAATGTGTGTACGGTAGAGGTAGTACTAAATCATATATTGCGCTAGAAGTTGGTTGTTTTGTGATTATCGAGATATTTCGTTATATCTCATTTCAAACGTCATCGTCTTTCCTCTGATTGTAGTCCCATCAACTGGATGTTTCCATCTCGTTAGTTTGTTTCTTCATCGATTAAGGTGATGCTATTCAACATGATCCATACGCCGCTACTGTCGCTAGTTAGCTTAACGGCTCTAGAATGGATATTTCTTTGAAGTAGTTATTTTCAGTCAGTGTAAGATTCAACTTGAGTTTGTTTCTGCCGAACTCCGAGACTGTTTATAAATAACAATCGCGTTTCCCAATAGTAGTCCGAAAAGTCAAACTAACTGCGAGGTTATTTGCTGAGTTCCCGACAGTCTAAATCTCATCACTTCTTGAAACGAAGCTTCAGGAGAAAAGCCAAAAACACTGTTGATTTGTTCTTTGTTGTTTACGTTCCGTCAAATTTGTATTAAGTGTATCAAGTAATGCGTGAATGCGACCCTAATCTCTTGTGATCACTGGTGGGTGTATATAGCCCCGTTCGTTGTCACTGTTCTGTGTTCTGTATCCAGTGTGTTTGATCGTGACACTCTCCAATTAAACAACAAAAAAAAATTACGAAAACATCTGGCTCAAGCTCACGAAGCCCTATCTTAATCAAATCGAAGCTACAAAGGAAACGTTAGATCGGATATATGAACTAAATCTGTCCCTATCCGATTAACTGATGTAGCCTATAACCTCTACCCAAAAATGGTCCCCGATTGCATCAAGTGCTAGATCCCTAAGTTAAATAACCGTTTACCTAAATGAAGACACATACATAAGCTAAAAAGTCAGTCTGAAGACTGTAACAACACATACTTATATAAAAACTGTCATAGTACGACCTAATCGAACTCGACAAAGTTCCCAACATCGAAACAGGACAACTGGAGACCTCAACCAAAACCATAAATGCTGCGGTCACGCTGAATAGGAATTCCTTGGATTCTGCACTTGCTGAGAGTAATCATCACCCTTTGTACATAGTCTGTGCGGGACACACATAACAACAACTAATGTACAAAGTATATGAGAAAGATTTTCATACATGATCATTATCATAAACAGCCGATATTCGCCGTCCTACCTATACCAACGAAAAGCACAACAGGCCGTTATTGCAGGCCATTGTTGCAGTTATTCATCCAGCCATCTACGACTACATCTTTTTGCCACGAAGACACTTGCTTTTAGCCGCTGTCGCAACTAATTACCACAGCGACAACCATGAAGTCATCAGGTAGCAATCAGGTTGTTGGAGGATCCTTTCGTGAGCAGGTGGCCACTGTTAGTAGTTGGTTCGATGAATGGAACCCGTGCGAGCAGACTGTCGCATTATACTCATTGCTGAAAAAGCTTGGTCCTGTTCAAGGCCGCTTTCTTGGCCTATGCCTCTCCCAACAGGGCTTACAATCGTCGAAGGAGACCCGAATCACGGAGCAGAATGCAAACGACCCTGCGTTCGTTCGCCAACTGGAGGGCGCAGAACAGCTTGTCCCACACCTACCACTGTTGAGACCAGGCAACGAAGCCGCGAAACGGGTTTACCTTGAACAGCTCCCCAGGGCGCTGGCTTCTGCCGTAGATTCAGGTCGAGCTGTAGAGCAAGCACGACAACTTTTAAGCTACGCGCTTATCCATCCAGCGTTAGGTGGTGACGAACGCAAGCTGCTTGGCCAGTGGTTACCACACCTTGAGAACTGTCTGGCTGCTCCGCTAGGATCGCTTGAAACCATGAACAACAATAGCAACAATAACAGCAGCGACAACGTGAATAATCTTAACAACAACAATAATAACATTGACGGTGGCAATAATAGCAATAATACTAACCTGCGACAACAGCACGGGTACCCTCACCACAACGTTACCCACGTGAACCATCATCATCATCATCTGAATAATAATATCCACCTAAACAACAACAACAATAGCAGTAGCAGCAACAACAATAATAATAATAATATTAGTAATGCTAACAGCAATAATGGAAATGGCAGTACGCACGGCGGTATGGCGCCGCTGAACGGACCGTCTGCCCATGACCCTGCCATGAGGGACGTGATGGCTTGGCTGAAGACGCTGCGATTACACAAGTACGCCAGTCTTTTAATGAGCATGACCTATGAACAGATGCTGGGCCTGACGGATGACCAGCTTGAGGCGCAAGGGGTGACGCAGGGTGCGCGGAACAAGCTAATGTTGAACATTAGCAAATTGACCCAAAGGCAGGCGAGGCTGCAGGCATTGCAAAAGGACGTGGAACGTGGCGATGCTGATCTAAAGCAGGTGCTCGACGAGGTGCGGGCCATGCTTATCACACCTATCAAAGGCTACCTGGTACCAGGGGGACAGGCTGATGGCAATGGAGTTAATGCGCCTGCAGAAGGCCGTGCAGGTACCGGAGTCGGTCGAGTAACCAGCGGAGCTTCGTTGCCAATTTCTGCGCAGACGTCACCTCCTGGCATTGACGATATCCCCTCAGAAATGACCCGCCTTCTGGGAAGACTTTGCTCAACGCTATTGGTCTCGCCAATGCTCGACCATGGCGGTTTGGTACCAGCTTACGTTCAAGTGCTTGATAGGTGCCTCTGCCATGAACAGTTTTGTCAGACGTTGAAGCGACGCCTCTATACGTGGAAACAGCAGATGACCCGATTCGGAATACGGCGTCGACCGTTCACGCTCCCATGGGCCGGAAAAGAGGGCCCGATAGCCTGTGGCACTGGAGGTCTTCTGGGTCCGCCTGCTACGGGCGCTGGAACTGGCCTTGGGGGACCCACCGCTCGGGGAACGACTACGCTTCCAGTGTTCGGAACAGCTCGACCTATAGGCCATATTCAACATATCATGGAACCCGAGTACGAGGATAGGCTCGAGTCGCTATGTCTTTCGATGACAGCGCACGCAATTGGAGATACGTTCAACACATAGTCAACATAGTGCAAGGAGGAGGACGTGGTGGTTATCGTCGAATCAATCGCAGGGGACGACGACGAAGTCAACAAATATATCGCAATAACTCACTGAAGTTACGCTAAAACCATGTTCATCAACAACAACAACGAAATAAAAACAGCAGAATATGCACAGAGCTGTAATATAGCAGGTAAGTGTGACATGCAATATTGTCTAGGATTATATATATATATATATATACATTTTAAGTAGGTTTTTAGAAAAAAGAAGTAAAGAAATAAAAAAAAATTAATCTTGGTTTGACAAAGCATTTCGCAATCGTTCAGCATAATAGTAATCATTATTATTATTATTATTATTATTATTATTATTATTATTATACACTGAAAACTATCTACAGCAAATTAAACTAAATTCGTATTTTTAGCAATGTAAAATGTTGCCTTGACAAAAACAGTTTATTGATATCCCAAACAGACTCAACAAAGATAACAGACAAATAACAAACTTAATATAACCAGTTTCATAAATCTATTCAGTTCTCCTCTTCGTGTTAACGCGAATTCAGCACATCAGTGCGGCTTAAATGATTAAAAAGGAATATCCATCATCATAACAGACTACATGTTTATACAGTTTGCCTCGTTAGAAAGAGTCAATTAGTCTTGACGTCATTGTGTTGCCCGGATGCCGTTTCACCTGAATCCTCCGATCATCATCATCATCATAGTGATTACTAGGATATTTAAAAAAAACATGCGAAACACCAGTTTTCCCCCCGTTTAATCTCTGACATGATAAGGACGACAGAACTTATTTGTTGTAACAGCAATAATCGTATAACAAACAGTCTTATACAATCTTGCTTTACTAGATTGCCTAAGCAAACTATATGAGGGACTCTCAGTTTAGAGAGTTACAGTTATCGGGCGATTCGAACAGGATGCCGCTGTTACCAGCCATCAGTGCTTGTCGGCCTTCGCTGGTTCCCATTAAGGTGACAGATCGACTGCTGTTGTTGTTTTGTAAGTGTCGGGATGGTGTTATCGCTAGACTACTGTTAGCTTGAATGCGAATGTTATTTCCATGGCAGTCGCGCCCCCCCTTGGCACGAATACTGCCATAGTTGCTGATGTCGCCAAACTCCTTCGGGTAATGTCTCTTTCAGCAATTTGTTACGGGACGCTCTGTGCCACGATGAGAGTAACAGCTTACGATGCACTAAGCCGCCACAAGAATACTTTTTCTTAGCCACCACCGAAGTTCCACTGAAAATATGGACAGATGCTAGCGCAACGCTCTTCAACTCGACCTGGTCCGATTCGATCAGGCTTGCGAAACCCGTCTGCGATATAGGGCCATACACATCAGACCCCGACGCTACCAGGCATTGTGCATCGCATGTCGCCGTCACCGGATCGAAAGTGTTCTCACTTAGTGCAGCTGTATAAAATCTATGAAGAAATGAATTACGAACGACAAGGGGCAGCTGATGCTGGCCGCAGCAGAAACGGCCTGCCATCAATATAACAGTTAAAAACAACTACTGGGCTAAAGTAATCGATAGCAGCTTGTGAATAGGTTATACTGTGGGTTGATCGGATCTCTGTTTGTGCACGTTTGCGTACCCTCATTGGTGAATATTGGATTAGGCACAGCTTGGCCTGATGCGATTACAAAATAGATAGAGGCATAGTGAAGCATATTGTCACAACTAAAGTGCTTACAGGCAATCAAGCAGCAGTCCACAACTAAGGGCAAACGTTTTGGATCATCGTGTTATTTAAGACTTGAATGATGAACCTGTAGGTCATCCTTCTGGATTTTTACCTAGGCAGTAGTGCCACACGTGGACACTTTGAACCGCGATTAAGGCACGTTCGTCACGGCTTCGTTACGGTGACATTCTTGACAATATGCGGTCGCTACATCTGGGACAATCGATTTGTTAGGTTTTGCTAAAAGTATAAAAACATAGAACAGAATTGTTCCACTGCCGACATTTGTGCGCCATGTCTCTTTTTGTCATTTGTGCGTGCAAATACATTTGTATCATGTGCTGGCGCACGTCCGTTCGACGTCAGCTGACGATCGGCTTATTTCATACCAGTCGGATAGGCGGGTCCAGTTAAGTCGATACTGTGGGGAAGGGCCAATTTAATTGACTACCATTGATTGTTGGGGCGGTTAATTTTTTCTTAAAATTCTCGCTCTTATTAGCCGTTAGCAACTTTTCCATTTGTCCATTCCATCAACTTGAGGACTCAGTTGCCGTTTTTTCTATTACTGCCGGCTCCAGTTGCTTGTGTTATCCAGACGCAGCCCAGCCTCGTTCAAGGCTAGGTTATTCCTGTGTAATGGCATTATGTTTGACTCCGTGTGATAACGTGAGTGTGCGATCGATTAGTCGCTAGATCTGTCGTTACTGCAAATGCACAATTATCAGAGCATCGATTGCTGCTGCTGAGGCAAAAACTGTTCGAAAATAACCATCTCACCATTGGCTACAGTTGTACTGTAGGCATCAAGATGGATTACCAATGCATCTGTCTCCTTAGTTAAACTGTTCTTGTTTATTTCTACGACGATCCTATGGCGATGAATTTGCGACTCTTGTAAATGCTTTAACGCCGAGCACGTTTTCTTTCTTATGATATTTTTGTATATATTCGTAACTATAAGCAAATCAAATTAACATGAGGTATGTTGCTTTTTAAGTCTTGGATCAGTGCACTGTTCCAGTGGTGAAGTACACGTCATGTGTTTTTAAGCTAAATAACGAGAGGGGGCTGCTAATTAGGTCGACTCAGCACCGGAGACAAGGAAAAAGGTGACACATTCCGGGGATGCTATTGCAGTTATAGAACGCAGACTATAGCCCTTATACTATCGGTGTAGGTACCTAGAAGGGAAACGGCATTCATACATTGAGCCCCTCATAAGAAGAAAAATTGATCTAAATCCTACGATGCAATATATCCCACCCTCTCTACGTACTCTTTCCAATGGTTATCTGTCCTAGATCCTAGGTGGATCAATACTAGGCCTTCCGTCATTAGGAAACCTCAATATCCGATCATTTCCACCGACTTCGCAACATTATGACATACATACGAATCAGCGAGCAAATTTCGAAGGCACACAATATTCATTGCTTATGCAGTTTGCGTTCACTGTAGTGAACTTTATCGTCTACAAATTGAAGAACCTATTCAGCTAATTTCGCGTCTTTATGTTTCGAGCTTTACGTCCGCTATCCATGTTAGGCATTCCACCTGACGGGTGGCTCCAGAACGAAACAAAGTGGGTCTATGCTCTAGTTTGAATCTAGACCATCAAGTGTCTCCAAGATTAGCAAGCAAATACATTGTCCACTAAACCATGACGGGAGCTTGGTAGTGTCATCTAAACGACAAATATCCTTGCTATGGTGCAACATCTGCTAACGAATTATCACATTTCTTAGAGTAATGGCTTGTTATAGACTATGCTAGACGAACAACGATGCCCCATGACATAAGGAATTGATTATTGTTTTTCTAATTCCTGTCTTAAAGAGCAACATTTGTTTGAGGGCACAAGCGACCTTTCGCCTGAACATAGCTCAGCTATCTATTGGCTGTTGCGGGCAGTTTTTTGTCAAAAAAAAAAGAGGCTCGGATTGAACCGTACGTTTTGCCACTGTCAAGCAAGCAAGTTACTCACTCTATGAAATATCACTAAGAAAACTATAGTTTTCTTAACAGAAAACTTTGCCGTTCAAGGTATTATGCCCTGATCACTCCCTCATCACTTGAAGTTGCGCGCTTCTCACCAAAGCTTTCTAAGCAGAGAGCTTTTTCAATGTATTCAGTTGGTTTGTTCCCGTCGGATCTGTATTACCTCTCTGCCTAGCTATTGCGGCTACAATGATGAACTTTACAATGCACGATTAAGATGGATTTTATCAACATTGTGACTGACAGCTGCTTCTATGCGATACGTAGCTTTATTGACCATCGCTGCATTTGACAGTGTTTGCGTTCATCAAGTCTTTCATCGTTTGTGTTTACATGCGCACGACAGTCGGACTACACAAATCTCACTGCCATGTACCCACATATTACATAGATAGTTAGCCATGATGTTCTATGCCTAGAAATGCATGCAGATGCGCGTGTGGGCGTATGTTAGCGTTATGTAACACCTAATACACAGCTCGCAGCGCCACATTCACGTTACCAGAGTCGTCTTGCTGGTGACACTGTCCCTGTCGCTTCTACAATACGCAAATGCCCCAGACAGCGCACGTCGGCCCGACAAAGGAGTGGCGCCACCAACTGCAACAGTGTCTGTCGGTAGTGCCGACAACTTCAACGGCACCGGTTGCCTTTCGCTCTGTCCGACATTCGGCAAAATGCAATGCCAGCTATAATCACAACTTCCAAACGAACTAATAAGGATAGTTCGGTTAAGCTGCAACCGCAGCAGAAGCAAGAACGGCTGTGAGCGTCCAGCGCGTCTCCCACTTATGCCATGACGCGGCCTCGTCGCTACCGAAGCCCAATTTCGATCGCCTACGACGCCTCAATGCGTCATAACGTAACACGACTAGCGCTGTTACTACGTTAAAGCATACTTTTTTGCGTTCTGACTACTGGGCCTGACAACGCCGTGACCACTGGGGTCGCTCTTATTCCGTGGCAACATGGGCCAAGCAGCAAGTAGCGTTAGCTCTCGGCGCCGGCGGACGTGGCCACGTAAGAGTTATAAATTATATTACATAAATTATGTACATATACATATATAGGGTGACCAACAGTAGGATCTGCAAGCTTTAGGCTTGTTGTTTTATACCATTAACAATAATCAAGCAGTAAGGGTTGCATTGAACGTTGCGTCGTTTCCGTAGCGACGAAATGATGCCTAGCTTGCCGTCGAAATTTACTAATTCAGATGATGATTCATAGACGTTGATTTTATGGTTGGCGGATACGTCGAGCACGAGGACTGAATGTATGCGATTGATAATACGTAAGTGGACGCGCAATGTTCTTTTTGTTAGTTACGTAACAGTTGTGATTTGGGACAAAGAAATTTCGGCTTCGTGTTTCGGCTAAACTCATATGGATTATGAGATCATAAGTGAACTGTTTTTTACGTTTTTCTTATAGCTGCTCTCCTGTTTGGCGCGCCTCATCTGACAGTTCC